AGCAGACGGACTGAGAGACCAGCACGACTGGGGAGAGTTGGTTCGCCCGCCCGGCAGAGTTAGCTTGAGACATCTTGCTCCAGCGGCAATCAGCCCAGCCCGTTCTCATTCCAGGCAGCCCAGCCCCCACAGCGAGTCAGCTGAAGAGCCAGAATTAGAGCCCAGGCCTCCTGCCTCCCCATCCCACGCTCTGACCCCAGAACAACTCTGCCTCCGAACGTAGCAGCAGTTAACCAGGACCACCACGGGAGGGAGGCAGGCATCAGCGGAGAGCTTTATTAATACCACTCTTTTGGAGATCAGCGGCGTAACCGCATCGTACATAAGGCCTTTTGTTTTAGACAGTTACAGTCTCAAGCAGTATCTTTGCATGATGCAGAAAAGCATTCAGACAGACCCGGGGCCATCCTTTGAGAGAGTCCAGTTTTTGGCACAAATCAAGGGCGTGTTTTAATAGAACATCTATTAATAGTGCTGCACAGATTGCCCCAGCCTGCAGCTGCTGTGTTCAGTGGGGTTGGGAAGGATGGGTTGCTTTCATCTGCTAAGATCCAGCTCAGACTACACCACCCCTCCTCCTCTTTCGCAAGGGAGGGCTGGACCCTGCTCGAGCAGGCAGGCAAAGCACCAGGGGCCTGACGCCAACGGGGTGTGGGTCAGGCCCTCTTTGTGGAGAAGAATTTAAAATACGGGCTGTGTTCTCACTTTAGGTGCAAAGAGGCTGTAGATTTTATTTGTTAAAGGAGACGAGGAATAAATAAAACCAGCCCAGAGGACACAGACCCACGTAGAGAAAGTTCCTTACTAACGAACTGCGGCCACGTACACATACAGGCGCCAGGTGCTGCCCATGTGCATCAGGACTGGATGCACCAGCACCAACCACGCGCCCCGGCCACGTCAGCAGAGAGGATTTAACGCCTTGTGACTATAGCTAAATAGCTGTGATAGTTGCTGGGCCCAACCACTGGAGGGAGACATGCTTACATCCTCTCAGGGAGTGAATGGACAGTCAGAGGTTCGAGTTTCTAAAATGAAAGCACAGTTCAAGGTATGCAAATAGCTTTTGTGTGCTGCTTCCCAGCACAGGGACAGACAGTGGCGCTGGGACACTTTTTATAGTGAGGGCGCTGACCCCCCCCCTTACCCCATGTCCGCTCCCCACCCCCTAGAGCTGAGGCTGGGAGCAGAGCCGTGGCTCTGAGAGGGGGGACATGGACATGGACAGGGATAAGGGGGTTGAGGCTGGGGCCACAGCTGGGGGTGGGGGCGGAGCCCCAGGCTCAGGGCCAGGAGAGGACCCCACATGTGGGGCCGGGAGCAGAGCCACGAGGCACAGGGCTGGCAGCCGGGACCCTGGGCGCAGGGCCGGAAGCAGAGCCCGCGTAAAACCTGGAAGTGCTGCCGCACCCCCCAGACCCCTAGTTCCTGCGCCTATGAGTTGATGTGATTCTAACCAGCTGGGGGCAGTGGTGGACATTAAGCATTTCCATTGGAAGGCCACCCTGACCAAACAGTTGTCCTGACTCCACAGAAATAAAAATTTGATTAAGATGATGTTGGAAAAAAAAATAGTGAACAGAGTTTGAGCATAGAAGTTTCTGGTTATCAGGGAATAATGTACAGATTATCGAGGGTGCAAAGTTTGGTTTAAGATCAAGTGGCATGAGGAATACATAATCTGCAATATCCCCGATTGGGGTTAAAAGGTTGATGGGTCAAAGTACAGACATTGAGATATGAGGGTATGAAGTTCATAGAGTGGCTATGTTCAGGTGTGGAGTATAATGAGTGGATATGATGATGAGGATGGATGGACCCTCATTTGGTGAGAGCTAATGTTTAGGGAGTTTATGGTTCCAATTTATATGATCCAAAGGAGAAGGTCACTTGGTCCCTTTCTCGTAGTGGGAGAACGATGTCTCTCTGGCTCATATTACACTCCGCCATTGAGCCAGCACCTGCCCATTACTGATTTAACCAGGCATCTGGGTCAAGCAGACTCTGGGGCCAGATTCATTGACATTCTCCAGCTGTTTTGGGCTGCTGGAGACATGCAAATTGGCCAGTGGGGAATGAGTGAATCTAGCCCTTTAAATTCTGTAGCCACTCTCTTGTTGAAGCTGTTTCATGGCAAGTGAGCGATCGGTGCCATTACAGGACTGGTGTCAGTTGCTACAACCAGGGAACCGATATAAAAGTAAGAAACAAAAGTCAATTCATCCTCAAGTGGATCTAAAGCGATTTTCGCAGGGCAGCAAAGATCCTGGAGGGACTGATTTCAAAAGAATTGGCCTGGTTTTCATCTCGCTTACACCTGGAATTTCCATCAACTTCTAAGAAACTCTGTCATTTACACCAGAGCAACTGAGATCAGAATCAGGCCTGCTAGCTCGCCAAGAAAGAGTTGGGGCTAGAGCCTAGAAATGCAGGTAGCTTTACTTGTGTGAGGAGCCCCATTGAAGTCAATGGCACTTACTCATGCAAGTAGAGTTAAGCAGGTGGATAAGTGTTTGCAGGTTCTGCCTCTGTAAGGGCTAGAGATGTACTGCTTGGCTAAGTGCCGACTAAGGGGGGCCGGGGGAAGGAGAAATAAGGTAACTGCTTATAAATATATTACTTTTATAATACTATATATATTGTATAATACTGTTACTTACTGATTTTCCAGTAGCACCAAGAGGCCCTAACTGAGATCAGACCCCATTTGTTGTACAGACACATGGTAAGAGACAGGCTGTGCTCCAAGGAGCTGACAGTTTAAACAGACATGACAAAGGGTGGAAGGGGAAACTGAGGCACAAAGAAGCAAAGTGATTTGCCCAAGGTCACCCAGGAGTTCAGCAGCAGAGCCGGGAGCAGAACCCAGGTCCCCCAAGTCTCAAACCAGCACCACAGACACTACACCACAGGGCTTTCTAGAACTATTTTCAGGAGGGAGAGCCAGAGGTTAACCTGGGGTCTCTAGGACATCAGCAACACAGCAGAGATGCTGCACGGCTTGGGGGTGACATGCACAGACATGATGTAGAGTAGCGTCGGCGTCTGCCTCCAAGCTGGTGCCTGCTTGCTCCCCAGGGCAGAAGCGACGCTGTGGTGCTGATTTATGAAGGGAGGGATGTGTATGCTCCTGGAGCAGTTTACAGAGCGAATGAAGAGACAGCTCACTCACCCACACACCATGTACACCGGGATGTGCCCAAGGAGAGGAAATACTTGAACAACTTCTCCAGCTGACACTGCAAAGAACGCTTTAAGGAAGCTGCTCGGATGGTTCCCTGAACTGAGAAATGGCCAAGATGCTAAGCTACAACTCCTGCAAACATGGGATCTTCAGTGATCATATCCTTAGTATCACCTTTAATAAGACTGCACCGGTGTTCCCGCTAACTTTTCCCACCCGTGTGCGGAATGAATTTTATTATGTGCACCAATATGGAGGCACAGCACCTCCATATTGGTGCACATAACAAAATTCATTTGGTGGGGGTGGGGCTGAGGGGTTCAGAGTGTAGAAGGGGGCTCAGGGCTGGGGTCAGAGGGTCAGGGTGCAGGGGAGGGAGGGTGAAGGCTCCAGCTAGGGGGTGCGGCTTCGGGGGTGGGGCCAGGGATGAGGGGTTTGGGGTGCAGGCTGCCCCAGGGCTATGGCGGGGAGAGAGGATTCCCTCCAGCTCTCTCTCCTCACAGCAGCACCTGGGCTGGGGGTGGGAGAGGCGCCTCTCCCCGCTGAGGCAAGTCCGGGCTGAGTTCGGGCCGGGGGAGCGGCGCCCCTCCTTCGGCTGCGGCAGGGCTGGGGCTGAGTCAGGGCTGGGGGAGGGGCGGCCCTTCCCCAGCCGTGGCAGGTCCCTGCCAGGCGGGTTCTCCGAGTGCCTGTGTGGCGCTCAATAGGCTGCAGCGCAGCTACGCAGCTTACAGGGACCTTAGGACAGCACCCCCAGCAGCACAGCGGATTCCCCTCCCCCGCCCCCAGAGTAAGTTCTCTTTTGTTTCAGTGCAATTCTTGATGAACGGGCCTGTAGGAGAGAGACAAGGTGGGTGAGGGCACAGCTTTTACCGGACCAGCTTCTGTTGGTGAAAGCAACAAGCTTTTGAGCTCCACAGAGCTCTTCTTCCCCAAAGGAGAGTTAGTGGGTTACAGGAGACATAAAACCAGCGGCCCTTAGAGTCTGTGATTTTGGGGGTCTAGCTTAAGTCAATAGAGACCCCGGTTTTGTGTCTCATGACAACGATCTGTAACCCACTAACTCTCCTCAGTCCTATGGCTGCAAAGGTGTCAGCTGCCCACTTCGTTTGGAACGGCTTCTTGCAACATGTGTTAACCCCTTATACTTCACAATCTGTCCACCTTGCACTGAGCTGTGACGCTGGGAAGAGCCTGCCCGGACCTGGCGAAGAGCTCGGTGTGTCTCTCTCTCCCCCACCTTGTCTCTCTCCTATCCCGGGACCAACACGGCTACAACAACAGCACTGCAAAAAATGGAGCTCTATATCACAGGGTAAATGCCCACATTAGCACCAGCTGAATGTGCCACCTCCCCTGGCAGTCTCAGCAGAGGGACCAAGGAGTGACAGGTCTGTGGAGTATGGACTGAGCAGTCCTCACTCTGGGCCAGATCCTCAGTTGGTGTAACCTGTGGAGCTGATTTACCCCAGCAGGCGTTTTGGCCCCTGGCGGTGGTGCATCTGGCTCTGGGTGGTGGTACAGCAGTAGGATGGCAATGGAGAGGCTGGCACGGCTGCCTGGGCTGTGGCCAAGTTCTCAATCTCAGATGGAGTGACGGATGCTTCGCTCCTCTGCAAACCAGGCCCTAGGACAGGGGTGGCAAACTTTTTGGCCTGAGGGCCACATCAGGCAATAGAAATTGTATGGCAGGCCATGAACGCTCACAAAATTGGGGTTGGAGTGTGGGAAGGGGTGCAGGGTCTGGCTGGGGGTGCAGGCTCTGGGGTGGGGCTGAGAGGTTTGGGGTGCAGGCTCTGTGTGGGATTGAGGGGTTTGGAGAGCGGGAGGGGGATCAGGGCTGGGGCAGGGGGTTGGGCATGGGGAGGGGTTCAGGGGTGCAGGCTCCGAGTGGCGCTTACCTCAAGCAGCTCCCGGAAGCAGTGGCATGTCCCTTCTCCAGCTTCTACGCGTGGAGGGACCCCCGACCCTCGGAGCGGGACGATGCGGCTGCTTCTGGGAGCCACGTGGTGCGGTCCCCGATCATGTACCCCGGAGCGGGGCCATGCTACGGCTCCCGCATGGTGCGGCCCCCGACCTGGCACCCCGACTGGACCACCAGACTGGGGCAATCCCCGGACCCCGCTCCCCAGTGGGAGTTTGTGGCCTGTCTTAAACGGCTTGTGGGCCGAACCCAGCCCACGGGCCGTAGTTTGCCTACCCCTGCCCTAGGAAGTCTTCTGCAAACCAGGCTGTAGGAAGTCCCGGACCCCAAAGAAGAGACACCCAAAAGAAGAGGCTGCTTTCGGAAGCCCAGGCCTCATGGGCGGGAGAATCTCCAGGGGAGGGGGTGCTTACTCCCCCGGAGGACACTGCTAGTCGGATTTTAGCTCTGAGGATCCTCAAAGCAGAAGAGCTGGAAGGCGATCTCCTCACACGCATGATTCACCCCGCACTCAAACAGGCAGCCAAACAAGAGCGGCGCTGACGCCTCCTGGCACACTGCCAGGTCTGAGTAACCGCACGGCCCTTTGTACAGGAGCCAGGGGTGTCCCCACTTGGCCTCGTTCAATGGGGACCGGTTGAGGTAGATGCCCAGATTGACCCGCTTGTGTTTACTCATTGGGTGGGAATAAAGCAGCCACGACACGGTGTTTCTGCAGATGGCGGAGGGGGCGTTCCCACCGTTCAATGGGCAGGTCGTCTTGGAGGCTGGGGCATCTGGCCCTTCCACGCCATCGGCCTCTAGAAGCCCTGCTGTCGGCGTGAAGCTCACCACGCTGCCCTGGCAGCCGTGTGGCGGCTCGCACAGCTTCTTGCATGAGGAGGGGCTCTCGAATGTCAGCCCCTGGTCTGTGCTGAGCGCCGCTGCCCGGCACCGGCAGGGGGTGCGGGCATTGCAGTACAACACGGGGTCACAGGCCTGGCACACCACCTCGGCCACCTGGCACTCCCCCGTCTTCATGCCTTTAATCAGCTCACCCTTGTGCCAGCGCTGCCCGCCGTCGTCACTATAAAAGACCAAGGCCCGGGGCAGGGTCCAGCAGGGCAGTGGCAGGCGGCAGCAGCGAGCGGTAATGTGGAAGGTGTAAGCTGGAATCACCAGCCGCCCGGAGCTGAGCTGCACCCCGTGCCCCGGCCCCACCGCAAACGTGGCCCAGTCCTTCAAGTCTTCCCCAATCACCTGCTCCGTCAAGTCTGTCAACGAGCTCCAGGTCTGGCCGGCATCTCCGCTGCAGACATAGCACAGCCGGGCGGCGTTCTTCCCGGAGTGGATCTGCCATTGCTCTGTGACGTGCTTCCTCACGCAGATGAAGAACAGGAAAACAGTTTGACTCTTCCGCTCGTACACCGGGCAGGGGTTCATCGTGCGGTGACCCGGTAACTCTGCGCTCCTCAAGGGCTCACTGGGCCCCCACTGCAGCAGGAGAGAGGGGACGAGAACAGGTAGGTTAGAAGGGTAAGCGAGCGGGGCCCACTCCTCAGTACATCACGATGACCATCCTGTACGGCTGCCTCAGAACTGGATGGGCCTTGGAGCTCACACTTCACCCCACCACCAGGGGGAGCTGTTGGGCCCTCAGCACTTCTGAAAACCAAGCAGGTGCCAAAACAGGGATCGAAGAGCCTCATTTTAGGCTCTTGGTTCTGCCTTCCCCTAAGGGAGCACGGGCGGGGATGCAGCAGCTCCCCTCACGGCTGCGCTGGCTTCTGCTTTAGTTGCTTGGCTCTGCTTTTCCTCCCTACGTGGATCCAGCCGGACACAAGTTGGCTGCACTTAGAGACAAGACACATGCCAATCACGCAGTCGCTCTCTCCATGTCGCAATCCCAGCTAGGGTGACCAGATGTCCTGATTTTATAGGACAGTCCCGATTTTTGGGTCTTTTTCTTATATAGGTTCCTATTACCACCCACCCCCGTCCCGATTTTTCACATTTGCTGTCTGGTCACCCTAATCCCAGCCAGATCCCCGGCCCGGCCTCCCTCTCCTGAGCTGCTCTCTCGGACGTCTACACTGCATTTGGAGTGAGCCTCCCAGCCCAGGGCGGCAGTAGGGTTGCCAGGCGTCCTGTTTTCGAGTGGAACGCTTGGTCGAAAAGGGACCCTAGCGGCTCTGGTCGGCAGTGCCAACTGGGCCATTAAAAGTCCAGTTGGCGGCGCAGCAGGGGCCCGGGACTAAGGCAGGCTCCCTGTCTGCCCTAGCTCTGTGTGGCTCCTGGAAGTGCCACTGGCACCCGGCATCCCAACCCCCTGCCCCAGCCCGGAGTCCCCTTCCACACCCAAACTCTCTCCTGGAGCCTGCACCCCCTAAGCACCCTGCCCGAGCCCCCTCCTCCACCCCAAACCCCTCATCCCCGTCCCTACCTCAGAGTCTGCACCCCCCCGCTGGAGTCCTCACCCCTCCTCCAAACCCCAAACAACTGCCCCAGCCCAGAACCCTCTCCAGCACCCCAAACCCCTCATTCCCGGCCCCACCCCAGAGCCTGCACCCCCCTGCCTGAGTCCTCACCAAACCCCAAACCCCTGCCCTCTTCCACACCCTGAACCCCTCATTTCTGGCCCCACCCAGAGCCCACACCCCCCAGCCCATACCCCACCCTGCACCCCAACCTCCTGCA